CCGATGCAGGGGACACGGTTTCGAGCCCCGGTCCGGGAAGATCCCACGTGCCGCGGAGCGGCTAAACCCGTGCGCCACAACTACTGAGCCCACACGCCTAGAGCCCGTGCTCCGCAACAAGAGAAGCCACCGCAATGAGAAGCCCGTGCACCGCAACGAAGAGTAGACCCCGCTCGCCACAACTAGAGAAAAGCCCGTGCGCAGCAATGAAGACCCGACGCAGCCAAAAACAAATAAAATAAAATAAATAAAAAATAAAAGACACCTCCTGGGAGAGGCCTTCTTTGACCTTCTCCTCCAAAGTAGCTCCTCAAGTACTTTTCAAAAAATCCCATCTCCCTGTGTCGTTTTTCTTCCTGGAATTTACTGCTGTCATTCTCTTGTTTATTATTTCTCCCCCCAAATGAGTGCAGCCTCTGTGAGAGCAGGGACCCTGTCAGTCTTTTCCCAGCTGTACACACAAAGCATCGACTGCACTGACAGACACGAGCCCACGGCGCAGACATTGCCCAAAGAGCCAGGCTGGAAGGATAAGAGCCAATCCCGGGGACAGTCTAGGCCCAAGGAGTTCAGGGAACCAGGAGACAGGAGGTAAGGCAGAGCAGGTGTACAGACCTGGAGGACAAGGGGGAACCAGGCAGCAGGGAAACAGAATATTGGTGGGGGGCTGGCAGAGAAGCTGAGGGCTCATAGCTGCTTCAGCCTGAGCTGGTGACCAGTCCAGGGCAGAGCGTCCCAGCGCCCAGAGAATCAAGTAGGTGAGAAAAGTCAAGGTTAATAAGGTGCGGATGTACCCCTGGGTGGGGGAGGGGTGTCTCTCATCACCCTAGATTTCTATTCCTGCTACTTTGAGAACACAAGTGGACCAGGCCTGGCCTGTTAGATAAGAGGTGATCACTGGGCATCAGAATTTGGGTCAGGCCATTGGAGACAGAGACCAATTCACCTCAGAAACAAGCACAGCATTGACTGGGCGAGTGACACCATTCGGGACGCAACTCCCGAGAAATCACAGACAGGCATGGCCCTGCCACGCGGGCCTGGGAGATGCAGCGGAGGCTGAGCTACAGACGGCTCTGGCCCCACATGCTCCTCCCCGCAGTGACAGAGAAGCACCCAGAAACGCCCTCCACACCCCAGGAATGAATGCTGCGACTGTTTCACACAGGCTGCCCCGGATATCTTCCAGGCACTACTTCTGAATGACCATATCCCAAAAGAAAGTCAGAAGTCTCTCTTCAAATCACCAGAACGAGGATGGAGGAGCGGGGGGGGACACCATTTGAAAGTTCTTCTACTGTTGTTTAAGGACCAGTCAAACGAACAACCAACTGCATGTCAGAGACTGACAAACATTTTTGGCAAAGGACCAGACAGTAAACATCTTAGGCTTTGCCCTCTCTGCAGCAACTACTCAGCTCTGGGATTGCAGCACAGAGGCAGCCACAGACAACACATAAACCACGGGGTGCTGGGTTCCAAACCCATATGAAAACAGGAGGATCCGGCCCAAGGCCATGGGAGTCCTGGGAAATTGTTGAGTCAAGGAGGGACACGATCGCACGAGTGTTTTAGAATGAACTATGGGGACTACTGAAAGATGGAGTCAGCACACCTTAGATGTTATGTGAAAGAAATACTGGTACTGCCACGTTGCTCTGTTATTACAAACAAATGGCAGTGTTTGTGTTTTAATGAAACTTTATTTACACAGACAGGCAGAGCTCCAAATATGACCCACAGGTCATGGTTTGCTGAACACTTCTGCCCTAGCATCTCAAGTCAGGAATTTTATTCTAAAATCAGCTACTACGATTCTTCAAACACCTGCCACAGCTACTTAAGACAAATTTGTAGCACATTAAGAGCCTCTGATTATACCAATATGGGTTGGGAGAAGGAAGAGGTGTTTTTGTTTTTTTTTGGTCTATTAACTGGATTCATTCAAACCAGACACAGGTCCCAGCCACAGAGGGTTAGCTCTTCACTGGTCCAGAGCAGACATCCAGGCAGTGCTCTGTACATGGGCTGCATCTATGGCAGAAAAAGAGACTGCAAACCAATGGCTCACGCATCCTCATCCCCACTCCACCAGCCCAGCTAAACCACGGCACATCTGGCAGTCTCCATACTTCCATCTGACACGTAACATCACCCACCAGAGCTGCCTGGCAACTGACATGCCCACAACTGCTAGTGATGGATTCCAGGGGAAGCACCCATCATCAGAATGGCTCTCCAGCTTTCCAGGACTGGCTCTGGACTATACCATCTGGCTCAATCCCAGTTGCTGATACCAAGAGCTGAGAACAAGGGACAACTAGCCTGGCAAATTTTAAACAATAAAATCCAGTTATCTGCTAAAGGACTTCCATAAGAAGATGCTGTTAGATGGGGTTTGCTGTTTCCAGTCTTCGTGCAATAGTTCTCCAAGGTGGGGAGGAGGGAAATTTTGCCCCCCCCAAGCCCGGAGACATTTTTGATGCTACTGGCATATAGTGGGTAGAGGCACCAGAGATGCTGCTAAACATCCTACAAGGTACAAACAGTCCCCCACTCATAGAACTATCTGGCTCCAAACATCAATAGTGCTGAGATGAAAACCTATGTCTGGGTAAGATTCATCACATGATGATCCCCAAACCTCAAGCACTAATGCACAGTCCAATCAAATTCCCGAAACTCGGCTCCAAAGACCACTTTCATTGGCATGTCGAGCTGACGAGGTGAAAGAGGAAAATACGTTAGAGGTGCCGATGGGGCCGTTCGGTTGTTTCTTTGTTGTTTTTGAGGAGAATTATTATTTCGCTAAGGTTCGTCTGTAAACGGAGGAAGTTGAAATAAATTTCTGTAGTTTCTTTGAGCTCCAAAGTCCTTTGATTACAAGCATATACAGTGGTTCATATCCTAACGGACTACTCTGGGGTTTTTGGTATCTTTCTAAAACACATACTGTCTCGGTCAGGCTGAAAAGCTAACACCAGATCATTGCTCTTTAAGAGTGTGGAGGAAACCTACCCTATGAGATGCTTAGCGGTAGACAAGACATAAAACTGGTCGAAACAACTAGAAAAAATAAAGTCTATAAATTTACCATTCATGTGGCTTCTTACTTCCCACGTTAAAGGTTTGAGAGAGACCGAGATAAAGAGAAGGAGGAAGTTACTACAGGACTAGACCTCTTTCCCTCCAAACATTAACGTGGAATGCACTGAACCAGAAACTGAAACACAGCATCAGTTTTACTTGTGACATTTACTTGTAACCCACTGGTAACACCAACGATGATAGTTTGCTTTGTCTTTTTCTGACGGTTTACCTATAACATTTGGGAATTATTACAGAAGATCGAAGTCAATGAGTAATTTAAAACGCACCCTCTGAAAAACTACCTAGCTGTTTTTCAAGGTCAGCTCTCAAAGAAGTCTCATTTTTTGATCCATTAGATTGAAAAAGGTGACATTTTATTTAGACATATTAAAAACCAGTGCCTACAAATCTTGAAGGAATAGATTAAAAGCAGACTGTGTGATCATTCAAATAGTAGGCACTGAAAAAGAATGTCCACATTGTATGTTAAAAGCAACCATTTCCTCCTTACCATAAAATATATATATATGTATATAATTTTTATATCTATATATTTATAAAATTAAATTAATTATATACATATATATAATTTTAAAATAACTGAGTTTCCTGGATCCTTCAGAAAAGAAAAAATGTATATGTAACATTGAGCATGATTTCCTATGTTTAAACTCAAGCTTCAACCTGTGGCTACACATTTTCAGGAATCATCATTTGACCTCTACATACTTCAAAGACCTTGAATGGGTCACGAAGTAGAACATCGAACTTTCCCACCTTGCCCAACCCCACTCTTCTATCTGATTTATAGTATACCTCAGATCTCAAACCGTGAGGCCACTGAAGTCTCCCTTCAATGACCAGAACTGTCACTGCACAGTAACCAAGGTCATCTTCTGTGGATCAAGTCCACTCCAATACTCGGTGACCACAGGAGGGCTGGGACTTGGATTCTCCAAAATACAGTCTGATCTAAATTTCATTTGCAACTTTTGTTTTGTATTTGTGTGTGTATGTTTTTGTAAATATTTTATTTACACAAACATATATATACATATGTTTATATATATATATATATAGTGTGTATACACATATTTCAGAAAGATATACACTGAAATGTTAATTGTGATTACTTTCTACAGTAGATTTATATGTGATTTTCCTTTTTCTTCTTGATTTTTTTTTTGCTTGTCTACAGCTTCCAACTTTTCTATATTAAGCCTAACTTTTGCTGAAAGAAAAATAAGTAATACTCCATATGTGTATTTTTTTTCACTCAACCTCATTTCAAAACGGATTTCAAGCACCTGACAAAAAAAGCAACGAGTACAGAAAGATTTCTTTCAAAGCGAGGGCAACCAGAGACCAGAGCAAGACACAACAGCGGTAAACTCTAAGGAAGCCAAAGGTTAAAACTATCAGTCAGCACGTAAGCCCTGATGTCCCTGCATACTGGCCAGAGGGAGGCACACGTTCGGCTCTGAGTTTCTTGGCGTCCGTAGGACATTCTTCCCCACCCTCCTTACCTCACGCCCACCAGTCCTAATTAAGGTTTGTTTAGGGAACGATAATGAGAAGATTTTTCTACATTCCCTGATCATCCCCCCAGATGAGATCATGCAGTCCAGCAATGTGTCCAGGGACGAGGAGGCAGCTGCAAATACAACCAACAGAGCACCAACTAGTAAGCCCCACTGCTCCTGGCGCTAAGTGTCAGCGTGCAAAAGAGGTCAGAATCTCCCAAAGGGCGTAGCTTTAACTTTCTAAAAGTGTCCCTCTGTGGGCAGTTTCTCGCCATGAAGGTAGCGGCGAGGGATATACTCAATCCATGACCAAGTCTGAGAGCCTCTGGGGTCCCTTGGAGGCAAAGCCAACACTCGACGGAGGAGGCCCGGCAGTGTGGTGCTTACCGTAAGCTGTCATGACCCCCGCGTAGGGCCCATCCACCACATTTCTGTTTTCTTCTGCCAGCGCCTTGATGTACCTCTTGCTGAGGTCCAGGATCTGTTCCCGAAGCATGGAGCTGCTCTCGGGCTGAGTTCTCTGCTGGATGGTAAAATGCAAGAGCATCATACCCCAAATAAAGCCAAAAGTCACGAGGAAAAAGCCCAGCTTCTGAGAGGACAGCTTCCACGGAGTAAAGAGAGCCATTGCTCTCTGGCAACTTCACCTGCCCTGGGCTCTTACAGTGTGGAAATGAGACACAAGTTCATGGTGTAGGCTGGGCCTGTGGGTTTCTCTGTCTCACTCGGGCTCCTGCGTCAGCCGATTTCCTTTCCTCGTTTCCATCCTGCTGTGAAGAAGGGGGAAAGTTAGCAAAACACGGTGAAATAAACCAGAGCCTTGTTTTCACCCAAATAGCTCTAAAATGTGAACTTCCTTTTCTCTTAATCTGCCAGTTCCCTATCCTATGTTATGATTCGGGATCTGTAAATGGAGAGGGGAAATCTGGCTGGGTGATGAAAAGCTGTACAAATACGGAGGAGGGAAATGTGTGTCTGCACGTGTTCACAGGTGTAGCAGGGTTGTTCCAGTCTGGACCAAGTTCAAAACAGGAAGCTTGTTCTGCAAGGTGGAGGAGATAGAAGGATATTTCACTGAATGTCAGCAAAAACCCAAGTGGAGGGTGGAGTCTCATCACCACCCAGCACTTCTGTGCCTCTGAAACTTGAACTTACAGAGTCATCATTATGTGCTCTAGCAAGGACAAGAGCCCGCAGCTGGAGAGGTGAGCCAGAAAGTGGACGCCCCCGGCGGGTAATCAGACAAGGAAAGGGGAGAGAGGCCCCCGTATTACTTAAGCACGGGCAGCTTTCAGTAGCAGTGTCCACAGCTGAGCTGAATGCCTCGGGGCCACCAGGTGGCCTCGCCCTAGGCACCAGCACAGAGAGGTTGTGCCAGGGGTACCCAGCCGTCTTTCCGTGCTAGCTACCACGAGTGAAAGCTGCACCACACTCCTCACTTGCACACTTGAGCACAGGAAATGCGGGGCACACGATGGCCTGCTTTTTTTGTGGTTCTCGTTTTCACTCACACCATGGGACAAAATGCGAGGTTAAAAGCCATCGTTTCAATACGAATGCAGCCGGATCCTACCTGGTACCAGCACAGGCTGGACAACAAATGGCACCGTTTTTTAAGCAAAGGCTGAGCATGACCTCCTACGAGGGACTAACCCAGGAGGTGTCCAGAGTGCGCCTATGTTTCAGATCAAAGGATTCTTCTTCCTAAGCAGCCTAAGAAGAAATGACAACGGGATCCTGGGACAATTAGCTTTCAGCACCTGCGATGCAGTGGATCTGTCTTGGTCTTCCTCTCTCACTCTTTTCCTCGCCTATCAACAGAGTCATCAGTACCTGGTAGCACCTCTACTGATAGTAAATGATAAATAAATTCTAGTTATGTCCCAGGCACTGTGATAGATGCTGTCTGTGCCTTAGTTCATTGAATTCTTGAAAGAGTCCTATACGGTAAGAACTATTAATGTTATCATGTCTGTTTTATAGATGAAAGAACAGGGACACAGGGAGATTAACTTGGCAAAGGTCAGCCAGCTATGTGGCAGAGGAGGGATAATCTAGGGATAAGCCAGCCCAGAAGTCAGTAAACCACACCCTGCCTTCCAAGGCCATCCTTCCTCCCCAGTTTCTTTATGACCAAGAATGGTCTGTACATGCTTAAAGGGCTGTGAAAAGCAACAAAGACTATGTGACTGAAATGTTATGTAGCTCAAAAGCCTAGAACATTCACTCTTGGCCCTTAACAGAAAAAGTTTACCAACTGCTGAATTCTAGGCCAGTGGTTCTCAAAGTGTGGTCCCTAACTCAGCAACAGCAGGAGCAACAGTGAGAGATGCCAATCCTCAGGCCCCACCCCAGACCAACTGAATCAGCAAGGCTGGCAGGGAGGGGTGTCCAGCATCCTGTGTTTCAATCAGCCATCCAGGCGATTTTTTGTTGTTGTTTTTTTGGCTGCGTTGGGTCTTCGTTGCTGCGCGCGGGCTTTCTCTACTTGCGGCGAGTGGGGGCTGCTCTTCGTTGCGGTGTGCGGGCTTCTCATTGCGGTGGCTTCTCTTGTTGCGGAGCACGGGCTCTAGGCGCAACGGGCTTCAGTAGTTGTGGCTCACGGGCTCAGTAGTTGTGGCTCGCGGGCTCTAGGGCACAGGCTCAGTAGTTGTGGCTCACGGGCTTAGTTGCTCCACAGCATGTGAGATCTTCCCGGACCGGGGCTCGAATCCATGTTCCCTGCACTGGCAGGCGGATTCTTAACCACTGCACCACCAGGGAAGCCCGTCCAGGTGATTTTGATGACCACTCCAGTTTGAGAGGCCTGGATGCAGGCAGACGGATGCCGTCACGAAGCCACACCACCGCACTGGCAATCAATGCGGCGGGAGCTCCCTCTGGGCCCCCCTTTATCACATAAGTTCCTCTGGTCCACCGCTCTCCACTGTGATGCTCCTCCCCAGTCTGAAGTTGTAAAACACTTGTCTGTCTACCTTGCTTTTTTTTTTTTTTTTTTTTTACCAGTTTCTGTGTAGGATCCATGACATCCTTTAAAAGACTCCCCCGCTTATGTTCTCAGAGACAGAGAGTGACCCACGGGGCACAAATAAAATACCTGTTGACTGAATGAGCTAGTCGCCCAGGCACTATGGCACTTCATTCAGCCCCTCTAACGTGGGCCAGATGAAAGGCGCCTGCCATCCACTCCTTCTACAAGGATACACTGAGCAAGGACCCACTTGTTGTCATCAGGCCCTGGGGACTGAACTGGGAACAAGACAGGGCTCCCACCCTCAAGGAGCTGACGCTTTAGAAGCCACCCTTCTAACCGGTGCTGCCCTTAGTTCCCCAGGAAATGTCTGCACTTCCTTTTCGATAACCCACGCCAGTTACCCGATGTCACCCCAGGGCTGAAGGTATTTTCCCAGAGCAAGTAAACGAGGTGCTGTACCAAGAAAGACAGTCTCTGGTAATTTTCTTTTGCTATTTTAGGAGACAGCCGCACGTGCAGACAGGAATTACCTGTCAGCTTTCAGATAGGAAGGCCTGCTCCGCTTCCTCGATGAACCCCCCCTGAAGAAGCTGCTCAAGGCTGCAAAGTTTAAGCAAAGGAAAGACCAGGCTCAAGAACTGAGCAAGGGGCTTCCCTGGTGGCGCAGTGGTTGAGGGTCCGCCTGCCCATGCAGGGGACACGGGTTTGTGCCCCGGTCTGGGAAGATCCCACATGCCGCGGAGCGGCTGGGCCCGTGAGCCATGGCTGCTGAGCCTGCACGTCCGGAGACTGCCTGTGCTCTGCAACGGGAGACGCCACAACAGTGAGAGGCCCGCGTACCCAAAAACAAAAGAACTAAGCAAGGACCCAGTACAAGGTGGCGTGCTTCTCTGCCTTGACCTTGGGGACAGTCAGGACCACCCAGGTGGTGCATTTGAGGGGCAAAAGGATGGTCAAGAAACCCAGTCGTGGTTAAATTTTTCCAGCTCAGAGACATAAAAATTTGGAGTGAAAATCTCTAAGTTCAGAGCACAGTTCTGACTATTGAGGGCCCAAATTTTAAGTGACTACAGAACTGCCAGAAATATTCCTTTCTCCGATGAAATCCAGAGTTTGAAATAACAGCATCTATATCAGCACACACACACAGAATTAAATTGGAATCCATCTCTACAATTCCTACCAGAAAGAAAGAATTTAAAAAGACTCTTCAAAATCATCATTAGGGAGACATCCCTAACTGCAACAGTAACAGGACAATAATAGGACAGCAATCCATACCAGAGGGTGTTGGAGCCATGAAAGGACTTCATGATAATTATCAGTCATGGCTATGATACTAATCAAGAGGCCACAGAACAACAGCCATCAAAATGTTGTCAGTCGGGCTAAAAATCTGCCTGCCTCCTGATCTCCTAACAAACAGCTGGATCCTCTCCCAAACTGGATTCAGTAAGGCACAAAAGGGGCTACACAGTATATCTCAAAAGGTCTTGTTGCCAACCAGAGTAGTGACAGCCCAGGGCCATGGCTTCATCTATCCTCCTCCAGAAAGAAGTTTGTACCAAGTCTGTTCCTAATGTTACGCTTCTAGATTCATCACGGACACTAATCACCCTAATGCATCTCCTCTATTCTTGTACTTGTGAGCAGCGTGCACTTCCTCCCTTCCCATTCACTCCTCAACGAAATGTGTGATCAAAGATCTGTGGCAAGGACGATGCAGGGGACGCGCGTTCGTGCCCCGGTCTGGGAAGATCCCACATGCCGAGGAGCGGCTGGGCCGGTGAGCCATGGCCACTGAGCCTGTGCTCCGCAACGGGAGAGGCCACAACAGTGAGAGGCCCGCGTACAGCAAACAAACAAACAAAAAAAGATCTGTGGCAAGGAAATGCATCTTAATTTCAAAAATAAAAGTGTATGAAAAGACACTCAACATCATTAGCCATTAGGGAAACCCAAATCAGAAGCACAATGAAATACCAATTCCCATCCATTAGGATGACTATAGTCAAACAAGACAGATAAGAGCAAGTGTTGGTGCGGATGTAGAGAAATGAGAACCCTATATATCCTGTGGGTGGGACTGTACAATGGTGCAGCCGGTGTGGACAACCGTCTGGCACTTCCTCGAATGATTAAACAGACAGTTATCATAAGACCCAGCTAACTCCACTCCTAGGAATTCTCCCGAAAGAAATAAAAGCATGTGCGCCCACACAAAAACGTATACATGAACGTTCACAGCAACATTATTCACAATAGACAAAAAATGAAACAACCCAAATGGTCATCAACTGACAAGTGGATGACCAAAATGGGGCAAACCCATACAACGGAGTTCTATTCATCAATAAAAAGAAATGAAGCACTGATACATGTTACAACATGGACGATCCCTGGAAACACCATGCTAAGTGAAAAAAGGCAAAAAGGCAGTCACAAAACACAACATATTGTATGATTGCATTTATATGAAATGTCTCGAATAGGCACATCTCTAGAAGTAGAACTTACAAGAGTAGTTTCTTAGGGCTTGAGAGGATGGGGGATCTGGAAGGTGACAACTAAGGCCTGCCAGGTTTATTCTGGGTGGTAATGAAAATGTTCTAAAATGGACTGTGGTGATGGACGCACAATTCTGTGGATATTCTAAAAAAAAAAAAAAAACCAACACTGAATTATATACTTTAAATGGGAGAATTGGATGATACGTGAAACATATCTCAATAAAGCTGTTATGAAAAAAAAAGCAAGCAAGCAAGCCCACCTCCAAAGTTGGGGTAGAAGCTGAAT